TAAAATAGCACCTCTGTTCAACATACATTTTAGGGATACATAAAAGGCATGCATTAAAGCAACTCCCGAAATCTGAGTCTCAGTACAACTAACTTATTCCTTTAAGTCGCTGTTTAATTTATGCTTAACCTACAATAAATTTCGGCTTGCAATATTGTTAATGTCGAAAATAACAATACACATACTAAATGGGAATAAACCTACTTCGTTCCAGACTTGTTTGTCGCAATAGCTTTCTTCAAAACAGTGTTCGACGGTGGTTCACGTTTGTGATGTGAGTGCTCACAAGTGCAGGGTGAATAGTCATGGTAGTAATAGTAGTTTTAAAGCAGCAATATTGCTAACCTACTTGTTGGTCCTAGTATTTTTGATATCTGGCTTGAGAAAATATGGTAAAATGCTATTTTTGCATAATCTGCATCATTTGTTCAGTTGCGATGTCGAATCCGCATGTGGCTTTTTCGTACGCTGCGCTCGCTTTGATAACTTGGGTAGTTTTTCTTTCCGCCTCAATCCACAAAATCGAAGAGGGACATGTTGGAGTCTATTACCGCGGTGGTGCTTTGCTGAAAGAAACCAGTCCACCTGGCTTTCATCTTATGATCCCATTGATTACCACCTTTAAGGCTGTTCAGGTATGCTTCACTATGGTGTTATGTTAATTCATTGTTCATCGACGAGTCATGTACTAAGGTATACTTAACGATCTGAGCAATATATATCTTGTCCATTGACTGATGATTGCATTTGCTTTTGCTTTGTAAGACTTCATTTGGTTGAACGATTTTGTTGCTCCGAGTAATGTGTCTTTTTTAGACTACGCTTCAAACCGACGAAGTCAAAAATGTGCCCTGTGGAACAAGGTTTGTCTTTGCTTCAATAACTCCTGTTTCGATTTAAGTGGCGGTGTTGTAATCTACTTTGACAGGATAGAGGTGGTTAATTTACTTTCGGCGGCAAGCGGTAGGTTGATAAAAGCTCTTTCATCTTGCTCAACTTGCCAAGTTTTGACGCATTTTGTTGTTTTCATTTCAAGCCTACGAAATAGTGAAGAACTATAGCGCTGAGTATGACAAAACTCTAATCTACAATAAGGTTCATCATGAACTAAACCAGTTTTGCAGTAGTCACACCCTTCAGGAGGTGTACATAGACCTCTTTGGTGAGTTGTGATGTGAAGTGGTATGCTTTGTAAAAGACTCTCAGACTATTTCCTATCATTTTACTATACTAGTCCTCTCGTTGAACAATTTATACACTTCTATTTACACTTTCTACGCGGAGGCGAGAATCCCACTTATTGGAAACGATGACAACCTCATTAATCTTCCTTGTATGCATATCTTGCTCCTAAGCAAACGCTTTTCAGCACTGATGGGTGGCTTTTTCTGTCCGATTCTTTTGCAAAGGCGAAGACGTTGGAGGGCTGCAGAGGTAATCACTATTATTGGGGGTTGTGAACGGCACGTGCCCAGGTCACATATTTGCAGGGTCAGTCGTCTGTGCAGCGTCATGCGATTTGGCATTGTTATTAGCGGTCTATGTCATTGTGGTTAAATGTCAAACCTGTAAATTGAGGCACTTGCTTACCGTTTGCATGAAAGCAGCAGGCTTTTTGCATTGAGGCAACTTTGCAGTGAGATGAAGGAGATAAACATGGAGGTTCTACTTTCTCAAGGTGAAGAGCAGCACAGTTAAAGGGATTGGACACTTGGCACATGAGTAAGTCCAGCAACGAATTTAAGGCAAGACTGCTACGATCTTTGAATCACTTTTGGTGCGAGTCTACGGAGTTGTGGCTCCCGGGTTTTATGCCGAAATAGAAGAATTGTTAAGGATAGTGATGCTCTCCTGTTTGTTGATGCAGACCAGATTGACGAGAACCTAAAGAAGGCCCTTCAAGAGGACCTTAACGTCATGGCGCCAGGTCTCTTCATTCAGGCGGTGCGTGTGACCAAACCCAAGATCCCAGAGAACATCCGACGCAACTACGAGTCTATGGAGGCTGAGAAAACAAAGCTTTTAATAGCCGAGCAGCGCCAGCGCGTTGTAGAGAAGGAAGCTGAAACAGAACGTCGAAGAGCCGTCATTGGTGGGTGAATTTTTTTCCATTTGAGCTCAATTCATGTTAGATGCGGTTCCTGCTTCCGAGTAATGCAAATACGTTGAGATGGTCACTTGTTACTGATGATGCTGATAGTCATGTCCATTACTTGCCTGCTTTGAATTGAGGCTCTGGATTCGCCTTAAAAGTCCGTCAATGTTTTCACTTCCACTAACCATTGCCACCTTCTTAACTAATGTCGTCCATTGACATTCCACCCCAACACAGTACTGAACTGGCAGAAAGCGAGATTTCAACTACCTGTTTTTGTTTGTGTCTGGGTTATTCCGTACAATTTGTCCTGCCTCTCGTCCATTCTTCAAACTTTGCTCCTTTGATGTGTCCTCCTTTGTTTTGTCGGTCAGGTGTTTACGGCAGACGTTCGCTTCCTGATGGGCGTGAAGAACAGTCAAACCAACTTTGAAAGTTTATAAACTAATCCAAAACCAAAACCAACCCAAAATTGCTGGTTTGTTGTCCCCTCGGTAGTAACGCTACCTTGATTCTATAGCGAAACGGGT